TGACGTTGAGCTGGCCGGTGCACAGACGAGCAGAAAGGCAGACCCCGGTGGCAATAAAACTTAGGGTACTTTATTGGGGCTGACTTGCGCCCGAAAGCACACTAAAGAAACACTGCTCGGCGACAGCGAAAAGAAAAGACGAAGCCAGCATGCCCGAATGGTGGCTGACCGAATCCCCGCCAGTGGGTGTGATGATCCCTTATCAATCCGGTAACTTGCAGCACATCCCGGCATCAAGATGGCTTGCAGATACACTCCAACACACAAAAAGCGGATGAAGTGCCACACACACAAAAAGCGGATAAAGAAAGTGATTAGGTTTGGTCCGCATCTTTTCAACACACACGTGGCACTGCCCCTCCGGGGGAAACAGAGCATCGTCTCAATGCTTAAGGAACACACTAGTTACAAAAAAAAGGAAATTGTTAGCACCTACTAAGAGCGGAGTGATGAAAATCTCTCTTAGTCTATCGTTGAAAAAACTTCTTGAGACGCGCGACGTGAACTACTTCAGGTCGACAGCGTCGCTGCTGTGATTGCGTCACTCCATCAGGTACAACGTCGTAGACAATGGGCCCGAGTCGTCGCGTTATCTTGTACGTTCCAAAATACCGACGTAGGAGTTTCTCGCTAAGGCCCCGGTGGCGAATCGGTGTCCGTACCATAACGCGGTCACCGGGTGCGTACTGCTGGTCGCGCCGTCGTAGGTTGTAGATTCGGCTGTCCGTGTGTTGCTGCTCTTTGATACGCATTCGGACGAGCTGGCGGGCTTCCTCGGCACACTGAAGGAAATCGGCCACGTCCCCATGGCCACGTCCCGTCGTCGACGTGGGGCCACATTGCATCCAGCATGAATGCAATGTTGCCCCACGTCGCCAGCCAGTACGTGTTGCCCCACGTAGTGGCTGGGCGGGCGAAGACAAGTTCGAAAGGTTTCATCTGCGTTGTCTCTTGTGTGCCGTGTTGTACGCAAAGGTGACGTAAGGCAGGATTTCATCCCAAGTCTTGTGCCCGGCGTCAACGTACATGGCGCGCATGTCGGTGATGGTCTCGTTCAAGCGCTCCGTCAGGCCGTTTTTCTGTGGGGGATAGGCTGTGGTTTTGCGATGGAAAGTGTGGCTCAAGCGTAGGATCTGCTGCGTGAGTTCAGCGGTGAATGCCGTACCTCTGTCAGTGATAAGGGCCATGGGTGCGCTGTGCCGGAGGACAATGCTCTTCACGAAAAAACTGGTGACTTCGATTGCAGTGCCGGATGGTAGCCAGGCTGTCTCAGCGTAGCGTGTCAGGTAGTCTGTTGCTACCACTATCCACTTGTTCCCGTTGGTCGATTTCGGAAAGGAACCTAGCAGATCCATCTCAATTTTCCGGAATGGTTTTTCCGATGGTTCGATTGGTTGCAGGAGCCCGGCGGGCCTCGTAGGCGGTGTTTTCCGACGCTGGCAATCTCGGCAGGTTTTGACGTCGCGTGCGACGTCCGCGCTCATGCCGGGTCAATAGTATTTCCCTTGGATTCGTCGCAGTGTTCGCGTGAACCCCATGTGTCCTGCTGTCGGCTCGTCGTGACGCGCCTTTAAAACTTCTTGCCGTAAACTGACTGGAACCACAAGTAGGTGTGTTGTTTTCTGCGGCGTAAATTTTTCTTCAGAAGCACGTCAATTCGCAGGCACAGCGACGAAATCGCCCGCCTGAGTGCTTTTGGCGGTATATCGGTCTTGCCTTCGAGGTATTCCAGCACGCCACGAAGATCAGGATCGGCGCGTTGATCATTTGCGAAGGTATCAGAACTAACGGGACCGAGGAATGCATCATCGTCGTCGTCATCGCATGGCACGAAGGTATTACCAGGGGCTCTCGAAAGGCAGTCGGCGTCTGTGTGCTTTCAGCCTGACTTATAGACGACGGTGACGTCGTACTCCTGCAGCCGCAGGCTCCGACGAGCAAGACGACCTGAAGGGTCCCTTTAGCTGGCAAGCCAGCACAGGGCGTGGTGGTGAGTAATACCTTGAAGCGCCTCCCGTAAAGGTATGGTTGAAACTTCGAGATTGCCCAGCGGCATTCCTTTTCTGTCGTTGAATAGTTCGACTCCGCTTTCGACAGGGAACGACTCGCGTAGGCGAAGACTCGCTCGAGGTCGTGCTTCTTCTGAATCAATACTGCGCCGAGTCTGCGTATCAAAGAGCAGCAACACACAGACAGCTGAATTTACAACCTACGATGGCACGACCAGCAGTACGCACCCGGTGACCACGTTATGATGTGGACACCCATTCGCCACCGGGGCCTCAGCAAGAAACTCCTACGCCGGTATTTTGGACCGTACAAGATAACGCGACGACTCGGGCCCCTTGTCTACGATGTTGTACCTGATGGAGTGACACAATCACAGCGGCGACGCTCGCGAACTAAAGTAGTCCACGTCGCGCGTCTCAAGAAGTTTTTTCAACGATAGACTAAGAGACATTTTCGTCACTCCGCTATTAGTAGGTGCTTACAATTTCCATTTTTTTGTAACTAGTGTGTTCTTTAGCATCGGGACGATGCTCTGTCTCCCGGAGGGGCAGTGCTTGTATGTATTGAAAAGATGCGGACCTAACATAATCAATTTCTTTATCCGCTTTTTGTATGTGTGGCACTTCATCTGCTTTTTGTGTGTTGGAGTGTATCTGCAACCCATCTTGATGCCCGGATGTGCTGCAAGATATCGGATTGATAAGGGGTTGACTCAGCCAGCGGCGGGGATTCAGTCAGCCACCGTTCGGGCACGTTGGCTTCGTCTTTTCTTTTCGCTGCTGCCGAACAGTGTTTCTTTTGTTTGCTTTCGGGGGCAAGTCAAATTCGGTATATCTGGAACAAGTGAAATGGTCGCAAGAACTACATGAGTGGAGCATTTGGTCATGTTTTACACGAAATATGTACTATGATCATGAGGTTTGGACGTGTCAATTACTATCGTCGTAATTCACTTCCCGTAATACCAAATTTAGTACATACGGAGCTAGCGCAATGGCGGTGAGCGTGTCATGAAAGGCCTAATATACTACAACAAAACGTTGACGCACGCGCAGGCTGGTCGCAGCGACGCCATCCTAGCTAAACGCGAGGACGCTATAGTGTGACACCAGGCGCGACCGGCTCGCCCCGCCGCGGTGGTCTAGTGGCTAAGGTACTCGGCTGCTGACCCGCAGGGTGCGGGTTCGAATCCCAGCTGCGGCGGCTGCATTTCCGATGGAGGCGGAAATGTTGTAGGCCCGTGTGCTCAGATTTGGGTGCACGCTAAAGAACCCCAGGTGGTCTAAATTTCCGGAGCCCCCACTACGGCGTCTCTCATATTCATATAGTGGTTTTGGGACGGTAAACTACACATATCAATTAATCAAGGCGCGACCGGCGCGACCAGCGTCGTCGGCGCGGCCCGATGGCAACAGGCGCCAAATGTGACATGCTGCATCGCGCGCCGACGACGTTACTTAGGCGCCACTGCGTCTGCCTTTCTTCGCTGACGGAGGTATGCTAAGTGTGGTCAAACTCGCATGCGTCAATGCAACACAGCGCAGCGCACGCCTCAAATATATCGCATGCAGATCGACGAAAAAGGTCAGTGGGCGGATCCACTGATCTCTACTAGGGGCATATCGGGGCCTGGCGTGGCTTCACCGGCGTGATGGGATAAAACGAACGCCGGCACGCACGCACGCCGGCTCACGTTGAAGTGTATTGGTGCCTTGAGTGTGGCGTGTATTAATGTTCTTACATGACACGCATCTCATGATTATCACGTTTGCACCAGTCGCATACCTTCGTCATCCATTAAGGTGACGTAATACCAAAATTTGGCGTATGCTAACGCAGCGAAACGGCCGAGAGCGCATCATGAGTGTGGAACGTAGTCATGTTGTTACATGACACGCATGTCATGATCATCATGTTTGGACATGTCATTGATCAATGCCATCCATTCACGTCACGTAATACGGAATTTGGTGCATGTGAACCTAGCGAAACGGCCGTGAAAGGATCATGAGCGGAGCATGTAGTAATGTTTTTACATCGCACGCATGTCATGATTTTGATGTTAGGGTCCGTCGCTTGTGTTTTCCATGCAGTCAAGCCGTACCGTACTAGTCTTGCAACATAACGTAGGGATGAAACCACCTCAAGAGCAGCAGGTCTATGACATGTATATCTTGATATTCATGACACACATGTCATAATTTTAATGTTATGATTATGCAGTTATGCTTGCCATAGCGCAATGTTATATCATACCAAGTTTTACATTGGTACTAATATCCAAACGGCCAAGAGAGCTAAAAGTCTTAGGTGGCTAGGTGGATAGATAGATAGATAGATATATAGATAGATAGATAGATAGATAGATAGACAGACTCAAAGTCACCGAATTTTGCCAAGAAATGCTTTCCATTTGAAAAAAAGGGGAGACACTTCCTGCCTTGTTTTGGGGAAAAAGTGCAGAACATGGTTGGCGCAAACTTAAAAGATGAAAGAAGAAACTCGGAAAAAGTCACACTCGCAACTGACTTTTATTGAACCGAAGCTTGTCTAATAAAACCATCACGCATGCGTACTACTACAAGAAGAGACCAACCAAGTATAATCACAATCTATAAGATAGAAAATCTAATTTATTATCATACAATGGCACAGATGGAACGCTGGTACTTTGTTCGCCAAATTGTCTAATAAACATCGCCTCTGCCAATTCACGTGCCACTTTGTCTTTGATTTTTAGCAATATTCTCTTATGGTGCAGTAACGGCTCACACGAGCACTCCTTACAGTGATGCGGCAAATGCGAACCCATGCCGTTTCTCATTGACAGAGCATGTTCCTTTAAGCAATCGTTTTTACAACGGCCCGATTGGCCAATATACACCTTGCCACAACTGAGCAGGGTCAAGTAGACAATGCCTACCAAACAATTAAAAACCTTCCTCTCTCTATCTCTGCAGTTTTTTGAACCTGGTTTTTTCTCTTTCTAGGGAACCAGTCCTACTACGATATGCGCGTGACTGATACTTTTGTGCGTTCAGCACCCCTTCCAGCCTGTCGAGTTTTTTTTAATCGCATCATAAGACCTCGTTCCTCGCACCTCGTTTTCTTTCCCCGATGTCTTCGGCTATTGCGAGAACGCAATGAAGATGAAGAGTAGAATTTCATCACATGAGTGTTTCATTTTTCCTGACTTTAAACTTGATGACTTTATGTTCTGTTACCGATGAATTCCAATAAAGTTTACGAAGTTTTGCTCTTTATTCGATAGTGGTTTCTTTTTATGAAAACAACAGATCACACTTGTAGCGATTGTAACGCACCGACAGGTAAATGAAGCCCCGCCGTGGTGGTCTACTGGCTAAGGTACTCGGATGTTGACCGGCAGGTCGCGAATCGAAATCCCAGCTGCAGCGGCTGCATTTCCAATGAAGACGCAAATGTCGTATTCCTGTGGGCTCAGATTTGAAATGCACCTTAAAGGACCCCAGGTGGTCGAAATTTCTGGAGCCCTAAAGTAATGCGTCTCTCATAATCATATAGTGGTTTTGGGACGTTAAACCCCACATATCAATCAATCAGGTAATTCAAACACCCAGCTTACTCGGAACATCATCAAATGCAATGTTTCTGCCCCACGGCCACCACCGATTTCTCTTAAAGTCCATCAACGTCAAACTCCCGAAGAGAGTTTGACAGAGATGAAGTTAGCCCATGTCACGCGGCAATTTTACATACTGCCTTGTGACGTACGCCTAACTCCATCTTCATCAAACTCCCTGAAGTGGTTTTATGTTGATTAACTTTAGTAGAGTTCGGTGGTGGCCCGGTGACAGAGAATAAATTGTTTCCATTATAGTCAATAAGCTGCGAAGATGTCTGTGATTGCACTGATGATAATGAATTATGCCTACCAGATAGCGCTCGCCACCGTGTTATGATGGGTCCGTTTCTGCTTGTTTTGTTCATTGCAGCCACACGGCGTAGAGTTGTTGGTAAATGACGCTGCACCTGGTGGCGCAAAACGTCCGCCTATATACATCGTTTTTGTGAGCACCGTCTGTATTCATGTTGGTTATCACAGCATTGTAATTTTATCAGGCGATAAAAAGACAAGGTATGCTGTCAGACACATGCGAATAGGAGAGTATGTCCCTTACGTAAGATATTTTTACCATGGGGATTCCACCATCCACTTTTATTGTAGATTTTGTTGCCGCAATATAGCTACTCGTGGTGTATGCTGGCGTATGCGCAATGCTGGAGAACAACGATGCGCAAAACCTCTCTTCAGCATCAGATTTATCCTGCCCAGCTGCCACACAGAACGTTTTTGCATATGAGGCATGAAAAAAAAACATCAGTAATCAAAAAAATTGCATAGAAAGAAGAAACACTTTATTCAGAAGAGATTGCACGCGCAACCTCCAGATTCTGAGCTGAGTAGTCTAACCACCACGTCAAGAGGAGACATGCAAATCGTCTTTTTCAATGAATAGTCAATATAGTAATTACAAGCTTGGCTATTGTTTTGTATGTGATATACTCGAAACAGATGTGATCGTGACCTCCTATTAAGTTTACGTTTTTGTTAAACGCAATCAACTGTTACCAGTAATCAATGGTATTACGAATGTGGCAATGGCGCTAACTTTCCGTTACAAAAAATAAAAAACAAAAAAATCAAAGCGGATAGAGGAGCAGTAACGGTTTGCCGGCTTTTGCTGCTAAGTGTAACATTCGTTTCTCGCTCTGTTCAAAGGCTGACATGTGCAGAGGCTTCATGTCACATCGAACTCCATTCTTTGAATATTCGCGAATGTTGACATTACTATTGTAATGCTTTGCGCAACGTACAGATCAGTCAGTCTGGGGTAGCGCATCGTCCTGCAGCTCCACACTGTAAAAGAAAAAAATTACTCCGAAGTCGGAGTAAAACACTTGTCCTCTAGCGTATTCCCTGTTCGGAGATATTTTCGCTCCGGACATCTGGAGCAAAATTTTTGCTCCTGTTTTCCGGAGATTTGCTGGTGCCCGTGCCCCTTTTAAGATAATTTCCTTCGGTGACAGAAGCGATGCGTGCTCCCCCAGGATACGTTATAACTTGCATGCACCACCGGCTGGCCGTACTGAATACGTGGCATCTCAAGCGCATTTTTTATGGGTTTTTCACTCCGGCCATCCGCAGCTTTTGTGTGGTCCCTCCGGAGATTTTTACGAATGAACTTACTTCGGTTAGACAGAATTTTAGTTAGCTGGACAAGTCTTTTTAAAGCGTTTGCTCCGCTATTTATTTATTATATGCTGATCGTTTCACGCATTGGTTAGATGAAGGAAATCTCTATTCTCATCTGCATTGAGGAAGCGAGAAAAGGCGTTTAGTGGGAGTGAGGACACTGAGCTGTTTTCTGCCTCAAGCGACGAGTCCTCGGACGACAGCTTCCAACCCGCCCTGTACCGCAAGACTGAACGACGGATCATCAATGCATGTTCAGCATCAAGCACGACCACCGTAAAAACTGCCCCTCAGCGATGGCCTCACGCCATCCTGTTTGTGCCGCTGAAGGCCACCGACAGTCTACGCGGGCTGAACAGGCAAACGCTCTCTGTGTATCTCGAGAAGATTACGCCAAATGAGATCAAAGAAGTGCAACTAAACACAAGAAGGAACATCTTGGCAATCGATGTGCTGAACCCACGTGTGCTGAACGCGCTTCAGAAAGTAACGCAAATGGGTAACATTAATGTCAAGTCTATAATACCATCTGATAGCACCACTTCAACAGGAGTCATTTAAAATATAGGCACTGATATTCCGAACTCGGATCTCTCAGTGCTGATAAAACCGGCAAATGAAGATAACGTTATTGTGAATGTCGACCGCCTTGGTAACACACATGGTGTGAGAATTACGTTCAAAGGGGACTGTCTCCTCTCCCATGTGAAGGTTGGCCACTTTCGTCACCAGGTACGACCATTATTACCAAAACCTATGCAATGTCATAAGGGCCAGAAGATCGGCCATGTGCAGGGTGCGTGCAGGAACTCCGAAGTGTCCCTTCGATGCTCAGATCGAACCACACTCCGAGGACAAGTGCAGCGTAACCATGCTAGAGTGCCCTAAATGTCAAGGTGCCCAGAGTGCATCTTCCAAAGACTGTCCACGCATAAAGAAGGAGTTTACTATTCTTATACAAATTGTGCGAGACAATTCTACCCACATAGAGGCCGCGAAAAAAGTCCGGCGAAGTCGTCGACGTCACCGAAGGTCTTCGCCAAGAACACAGTAAACTACAAGAAGTAAATCAACGCATCTGGGAACGGCGCCCACTGTACGGTACACCGCGGTGAACGCAGGCGATGGAAGAGAGAAAACAAGTAGATCTCTCTCTACTGAAGAGTGGCCGCCACTTACGCGCACGCGACTTGTGGAAGAACCGCATCAAAAGCCGCCTTTATCGGAGCAAGCTGCGACAACGGAGGAGCATCGGAACTTGGATATGCAAGCGATTGCTATTCTACGACCCACAATTAATGCCATTCGCGCGGTGTTAAAGAATACACGCACAACGTCAGCCAGAAACGCACTTCATGAACTGAACGCTCTGAGTCGAGTACTGGCAGCTCTTGAGTAGATAACGGCCCACCAGCCACTGTCTTTCACAAAAGAGGTAAAAAAAAACAACAATTTTTTAGTGGAATGCACGAGGACTGACATCACGCATTGCAGATTTCCGTCGGTTCGTTTTCACCAATATGTTTTTCATTTTCATTATCTGCGAGCCAAATTTATCGAGCGCTATCAGACTCTCAAGATACCAATCAATTATGTCGGCTTGTTATAGTGGAAACAGCAAGGTCCGGCTGTTTATTTGCTGTGACCTGACTTAAATTCCTCGGTCTTACCACCTGACAACGATAACCATTTAATATGCTTAACAGTGAAGAAAAAGGGTCTTACCGTCCCTGTTGTCGGTGCATACCTGTCGCCATCAAGTAGATTTGACCACAGAAGACTAGGACACATCGTATCCTCCACTCCTGACCCATGGGTCATCATCGGAGATTTTAACGCCCTTTATACGCTATGGGGGAGCCCGAAGGTCAGCGCAAAGGGTAAAAGTCTGATAACTTTTGCTTCAGACAACAAGCTGCGCTTGTTAAATGATGGCAGCCCAACATTTTTACGTGGCCCTGGATACAGCATCTGCATTAGCTTGGCCTTTGTTTCTCGAAATGTCGTCAGATGTGCCGGATGGTTTGTGGACATAGAAAATCAAAGGAGCGACCGCATTCCAACATATGTCAAGATCAGAGGATTATCACCTTGCAAGGCACGCGAAACTATCCAAAGAGTGGACTGGACCAAGTTTGAATCTCTCATAGAAGAACGCTGTCAAGAGAACACCTCACTTGTCTTAGAAGAGGTGATCAAGTGCTTAGTGCGAGACACGGTGTGCACCCTCACATGCTCTTCGAGAGTAACCGAATTTGATGTGAATTTAGAACGATTTCGGGCTCTCCGACGGCGTGCGTAACAAAGGTACCGACGCACGAAAGCAATCGACGATTTAAAAATCGCTAGCCGTCTTCAAAAGAAGATACAACGCCGCATAGACAAGCTAGAGTCACAACGTTGGGCAGCCTTCTGCGCGTCGTTAGATCCCCTAAAGCCTTTATCACACTTGTGTAGGACAATAAGAGGGCTCCGGACAGCTCCCATTCAGCGGTTTCCATTCAAGACTCTAGCCCTCTCTCAACAGAGATCGGAGGTCGACGTGGCAGAAGAGTTCTGTGCCAAATTATCTGGTCAGCTCGCAGATCCTAACATCTTCATGCTATCACGTGTTGGCCCGACATCACGCGATCACCACATAGACCAATGTTTTTCTATCTAAGAGCTTAAAGCAGGACTTGCCTTGTGTAGACGGACATCAGCCCCCGGGCCTGATGGAATATCATACAGAGCGCTGTGTCACCTTGGTGAGTGTGCAAGGAGTGCCCTCCTAGACATATAGAATGATTCAGGGCGAGAGGGCACCCTCCCAGTTAACTGGAAGACCAGCCGTTTGGTTCCATTGATGAAGCCTGGCAAGTCACCATTGGTGCTCATATCGTACCGCCCGATTGCTTTGTCTAGTTGCTTGAGCAAAGTGATGGAGAGGTTGGTACTAGGATGGCTAGAATGGTTCCTGGAGCATCACAACATCTACCCGGACGCTATGACGGGTTTTCGCCGTGGCCAGTCATCAATCGATAG